GGGGGACTTCTTAGGCCTCTCACGAGTGGAGGGGGACACGTCAACAGGATTACAGTCATGTAGGTATGATCATTCTCAGCCAATAACGTTTCAGCATAACATTTCAATAAGCAAAACAATTAATGTTCCAAAATCTCAAGGTCGAACATGTTCAACAAGATAAAAGATCTAAACCAGACAAATGTGTTTTTAACATGCACCACAATATAAAAGGCCAATCACACTGAAACTAAATCCCTTTGCATAGTCTGTAAGCAAGCCCCGTCTGTATTCGGATGTGTTAAATTATGACTGTTCCAGAACAAAGCATGCCACTATATCTCCCGGCAACTGCAGGGATCCAGCCTAAAGCCTCAGCTACTGGCATCCCCCTGCAATACAACTCTCACCTCGAACAAAGGGACAACATTCCTCTCTGGGCTTAATGGACAACTATAATATACTGAACGGAAAACTGAGTGTAGGAAGGGCCAGAACTGTTCCATTATCAAACCCTAAACAGTCCTTTGTTACTAAGCCAGTCAGTCCTGAATTAAACTCATGCCTCTCTTGTGTTGGTGTTACATAATCACATCGTTTTTGGAAGCACTTTTCACTGAATTTAATCTACTGATGTTTGGGTTTGTACCTCTGTGTAGTGTCAGGATGGGTCTCCACGTGGGCATCAAAGTCGTTTCTGCAGGTGAGGGTCTTGAAGCAGATAGGACAGGTCAAGACTTCTTCCTGTCCTTTGTTCAAACTCTGCTCATCTACCACGCTATCCTCCTTGACCTGCAAAACACAGGCCACCGTCAGCTATTTGTAGCCCAATCTGAGAGCACCATCTTGGGGCGCAGGTAGCACTGGATAAGATGGTGGAGCTACACTTACCTTTTTGCTGGCTGTCTCCTCTATCTTCTCACTGTCTTCATCGTGGCTTAGTTTGCGTTTGGCTGCAGAGGGACGTCGTCGCTTAAGTGGAGACAGAGTCGGACTGTTGGGGATGGAGCTGACAGAGTCCTTGTCGTGGATCTTCATGTGTCTGAAAATTGACAAAAGAGTGTGCTTTAAAACTGCATTTTGTGCATTTACAAACCAGCTGTCACAGTGAGCATCACAAATGATTCTGTTCTCTGAAAAATGCTTGGCCACTACAGGGTTAATGGTTGTGGAACAATTTCTTGGGAACGAGTTGCATCTTGAGGACATTTACAGATGCCTCCCACTTGTTTCATGGATGAGTAGCTAATGAAAATTATTTTAGAAATTAGGGTAGAGGAACCCCAGTTCATCCCATTGGGAGCCAACAGAAAGGACTGTAATGGGAAGATACTAATGGTCTGGAAACTCATGCAATTATCCCACAGACTCTATATGTGCATATGTGAGTCCAAGGTGGCGGGTAGAGATTAACGGAAAAGAGAGTGGAAAACGTTGCATGGATAGGGCCAGAAGTTGATCCTCTTATTATCCAGAGAAATCTTGAGGAAACCAGTGAGAACAAGTAGGAATTGGAGGTCCAATAAAGACGAATAAAAAGGATGTCAGACTCAAGTAAAAGTTTCAAGCCCACTATATATTTATAACTATATATGACAAAAAAAATTATATTTATTGTACAATCAAAGTTCAAATTTCAAATGAAGCAAATATGCTGGATGAATCCAGGAAGGGCTCTAACCAAGGTTTATATCCGTGTACCTATAAAAGTTGATCTCATAAAAGTACTTTGGAAGTGTACATGCATGTGCAAGTGTAAAAAAGGTCAGACATCCATCCCATGGTCTTGCAGGTCTCAGTTTACACTCTGCAGTCAGTGGTTTATTTATAGCAGGCAGCATGTTGGACACTCGTGTGAGGACCTGACAGGCTGTTATATCGCTCTGCTCTGGACTCTGACCTTGCCTCTGACCAATCACAGAAAACCAGCACTGCCAAGTCAGCAAACTCTGATTGGATGGAAATCATCACCACAGTAACCTCATATAGGATGATAGCTTATCCTTTGAAAAATACTAACTCGAGTTGATTATTGCTAGTTTATAATAATGGTATGACTGAATCTGAGTTTCAATTGATATAAAATGTAATCAGTAATGAGGCTGTAACATTTTTCTAACTGCACTAGACTGAAGTTTCCTGTCCTTGAATGAAGGATGTCAATACGGACATTTCATGAGCAGGCTGGCTAATCTGTAAAGGATCATAAAACTTGTTGATGCATAAACAGGTTCATTCCATCCAATCCAAGCATTCCATCGCGCTCCCGCAGAGCACAGACAGAGGGCACTGTGGTGTCAGAAAGTTTCCTCTTTTCCAAGCAATGTCAGAGCAAGGGCACCTCTGCAAACCTGTGGCTGTTCAGTGGTGTAACTAAGACCTAAAGTTAAAGCAAAGAAAAGCAGCCAATCAGAACGCACTCTGCCTCTCCTCTGTGAAGTTGTGATCATTCTCCATGGCAACAGTGACTCCCTCCTCCTCACAGCCCCCATCTAACCATGTGATGCTCTGGCACAAGATGGCTGCCTCCTTGTCAACTACATGGACAGCTTCCTTGGATATGCATGAGGCCTCAAAACTATCAGTCAACTTTTTTCAGAACTGAAAAACTGCTCAAATATTTTTAGCAGGTTTCATGTCTAGAATGGAAAGCATCTTGACATTTTTAGGAAAAACTATGAACGAACTGAATTAAACTTTGGCATGTACATCGTCATGCACTGTTCATGCTAAAGACACGAGTGACGTAAAGACATCAGCTGACAAAAATAGGTGGGTAAAAAATAGCCATATCTAGAGACCAAAATATAGAAACTGGGCTCCGCTTGGTCCAACAGACTTTAGTAAGGCCAATAGTTAGTCATTTTTGACAGGAATGAAAACAAGACTGTGAGGGATAGTACAATGGATTGTTTAAAAACATAGGCTACCGATTGTTCAGTGGACAAAACATCTTTCCAGAATGCCATAAAACAGTTTTGAGAGTTAAATATGATCCAAGAACACCCTATTAACCATTATTAGTCAAATTATAGTTATAAAATACCATGGAAAAGATGAGATGGTATAAGGACAGTAACAGCAGATGTAGAAAAACCAGATTCCCTTCACATCCGTCACAGCCGCACATTCCCTGCAAATCAAACTTAGCGTCGTATTTCCAATTCCAGGCCTACAATTTCACTGTACTTCTGCAATTTACAGAGTGCTTATTCAAGCCATCTTACCCAGGGGCCCTTTAACAACTGCTAAGAGCCGTCCACACAAATACACACACACTGATCCCCCATATGCACTTCACCATCAACCTTCGCAACCTTGGGAGGAAGTTCATGTTTACCCCCTCCATCAGCAAGGCCTGCTGGGAGAAGATACCATGACCAAAACTGGGGGAAGCGACGGGTGGGGGAGGTGTTTTAAAGTCACTCTTCACTTCCTGCAAAGCTCTCTCTACTTAAACAAAAGCAAGGCTACAGAGCTGACGAAGCCCAGTGGTAGCACACATTATATTAACACCAACATACATAAACAATACAACGCCTGTTCATTTATCTTAGTGGCGCAATCATCCTCTGGGCAACTCTTCAACGCAGGCAAAGGCAGGGTGAGGCCTGAGGGATGTAATCAACCAACAAGCTTTCACTTCTCTAAAAAGCCCAACATCTCTGAACAATTCAACCTCTCAAATGATGCTTTTACAAACGGATGTGGACATCAGATGTAATGGAACTTGCACTATCTATGCTAAAGATGTAAAAGAAACCTCTAATGTACTCAAAATTTTGGGGGTGAACTTTTTGGCAACCACTTAAAACACCATAGCAACTATAGAACACCCTAGCAACCACACAGCAACCACTCAAAACACCCAAGCAAGCTGAATAGCAATGCATTAACAACCAGATAGAACACCATAGCAACCACTTAAAACACCTTAGCAACTATAGAACACCCTAGCAACCACTCAAAACACCCTAGCAAGCTGAATAGCAATGCATTAACAACCATATAAAACACCTTAACAACCCAATAACACCATATCAACCACTTAGCAACTATACATCTTAGCAACTATAGAACACCCTAGCAACCACACAACAACCACTCAAAACACCCTAGCAAGCTGAATAGCAATGCATTAACAACCATATAAAACACCTTAACAACCCAATAACACCATATCAACCACTTAGCAACTATACATCTTAGCAACTATAGAACACCCTAGCAACCACACAACAACCACTCAAAACACCCTAGCAAGCTGTATTGCAATGCATTAACAAACACATAAAACACCGTAGCAACTCTAGAACACCATAGCAACAACTTAAAACACCTTAGCAACCCAAGAACACCATATCAACCACTTAGCAAGCTGTATTGCAATGCATTAACAAACACATAAAACACCGTAGCAACTCTAGAACACCATAGCAACCATTCAGAACACCCTTGCACCTGCATAGCAATGGACTAGCAACCACTTAAAACACCTTAGCAACCATAGAACACCCTAGCAACCACTTAAAATACCTTAGCAACTCTAGAACACCCTAGCAACCACTCAGAACACTCTTGCAACTGCATAGAAAAGGACTAGCAACCATTTAAACACCATAGCAACCCCCCATCAACATCCTGGCAACCACCCAGAACACCCATGGTGGCAAATTTTGCATCACTCACATTTCTTCATAAAATTAATATCTAGTGACAAATCTGTTCTGCTTAAATTTAAGATTACAGCTCATTCAGCAGTTAAACAGAAGATATGACGACACGATTAGGGCGGATGGTCATGCTACTCCTGCACATCTCCCTTCCCTTAAATCACACACACGTACAGTTACTCACTGCTATTTATCACTGCGTTTAAGACAAGTTGAGTTTGAATACTCAACAGTTCACAAAGGTGTGCGTGTATGAAATCATACACTCCATCCTCAGTCAAAATAATAATTTGATAATTACACTTTATCAGCTGAAAGAGAACATGAAATTAGAACTGACTTAATAAATCAATGCACAATTCATCAATACGGATTCAATAAAAAGAAGCTTCATAAATGCTATTTAAAAAAAAGTTAGTACCTTTAACCAAAATGTTAATAACCTTCTGCACCTCTGAAAAGAATTTAGCAACATAACCAAGGCCTCATGGGTGAAAAAAAAAGTTAATTCTCTCGAAATCGAATTATATCCCAACGTATAAAGTCCCACTTAATCTTTCATTTTCCTTAGTAATTCGTCACATTATGGAAGTTAAATATGTGGACATCAGATGTAATGGAACTTGCACTATCTATGCTAAAGATGTAAAAGAAACCTCTAATGTACTCAATTTTGGGGGTGAACTTTTTGGCAACCACTTAAAACACCATAGCAACTATAGAACACCCTAGCAACCACACAGCAACCACTCAAAACACCCAAGCAAGCTGAATAGCAATGCATTAACAACCAGATAGAACACCATAGCAACCACTTAAAACACCTTAGCAACTATAGAACACCCTAGCAACCACTCAAAACACCCTAGCAAGCTGAATAGCAATGCATTAACAACCATATAAAACACCTTAACAACCCAATAACACCATATCAACCACTTAGCAACTATACATCTTAGCAACTATAGAACACCCTAGCAACCACACAACAACCACTCAAAACACCCTAGCAAGCTGTATTGCAATGCATTAACAAACACATAAAACACTGTAGCAACTCTAGAACACCATAGCAACAACTTAAAACACCTTAGCAACCCAAGAACACCATATCAACCACTTAGCAAGCTGTATTGCAATGCATTAACAAACACATAAAACACCGTAGCAACTCTAGAACACCATAGCAACCATTCAGAACACCCTTGCACCTGCATAGCAATGGACTAGCAACCACTTAAAACACCTTAGCAACCATAGAACACCCTAGCAACCACTTAAAATACCTTAGCAACTCTAGAACACCCTAGCAACCACTCAGAACACTCTTGCAACTGCATAGAAAAGGACTAGCAACCATTTAAACACCATAGCAACCCCCCATCAACATCCTGGCAACCACCCAGAACACCCATGGTGGCAAATTTTGCATCACTCACATTTCTTCATAAAATTAATATCTAGTGACAAATCTGTTCTGCTTAAATTTAAGATTACAGCTCATTCAGCAGTTAAACAGAAGATATGACGACACGATTAGGGCGGATGGTCATGCTACTCCTGCACATCTCCCTTCCCTTAAATCACACACACGTACAGTTACTCACTGCTATTTATCACTGCGTTTAAGACAAGTTGAGTTTGAATACTCAACAGTTCACAAAGGTGTGCGTGTATGAAATCATACACTCCATCCTCAGTCAAAATAATAATTTGATAATTACACTTTATCAGCTGAAAGAGAACATGAAATTAGAACTGACTTAATAAATCAATGCACAATTCATCAATACGGATTCAATAAAAAGAAGCTTCATAAATGCTATTTAAAAAAAAGTTAGTACCTTTAACCAAAATGTTAATAACCTTCTGCACCTCTGAAAAGAATTTAGCAACATAACCAAGGCCTCATGGGTGAAAAAAAAAGTTAATTCTCTCGAAATCGAATTATATCCCAACGTATAAAGTCCCACTTAATCTTTCATTTTCCTTAGTAATTCGTCACATTATGGAAGTTAAATGTGTGCATGTTGTCTTGAGAATCAATTCTGTTGTGCAAATCAAAATCTTTAACCTAAGTGACACATTTTTGCTCCAGATTGCAAATCATTTCGTTTGAAAACCCCGACTGACCTGTGCATGTTGCCATTGGTTGTGAAAGTCTGATGGCACACCGAGCATGTGTAGGGTCTCTCTCCACTGTGCACTAGCATGTGACGATCCAGAGAGCTCGCCGAGCTCAGAGCCTTCCCGCAGATACTGCAAGAGTGGTCCGAAGTCCCGCTATTGGTGTTGTGCTGGAGAAAAAAAGACATTTGGGTCAGCTAGCTCATTAAGTTAATTACCATTACAGGCCATGCTCTTCAATATATTGTCTTGTCTAAGTGGCTTCTGAAAATGCTCAAATATTCCACCGCCTTTGCTAATTTGTACACAGACTTCAATTAAAGAAATCAACAGGTATGCAGCAGTGTGCTGAACAAGTGCAGGTTACCTGGCGGATGTGCATGGTGAACTGGTGTTGGGTCTGAAAGCTCTTATCGCACAGTGGACAGACGATACACCCGCTGTCATCTTTGGCTTCCTGAAACAAATACGAGATCAAATGCATGTAGTTATAAATCTCTACAGCATACACAGAGCACTGTATTATACTATGTGCCAAAAGCTTGTGTTTCAAAGCACGAGATTCGGCGAGGACGCAAATTTGACATCTCGTTGGCACAAAAGCTGTTTTTGGGACTTGGATGCACACCAGAGTACGAATGTTTTTAAAGTGTATATGTGATAAGTTTATTTTATCAACTTATTTACACTACCAATTTTTTGAATGCTTTTGAAAGTCTCTTCTGCTCACCAAGGCTGCATTTATCTGATCAAAAATTCAATAAAACAGTAATATTGTGAAATATTATTACAACTTAAAAGAACTGTTTTCTATGTGAATATATTGTAAAATGTAATGTATTTCTGTGATGCGCAGCTGTATTTTCAGCATCATTACTCCAGTCTCCGGTGTCACATGATCTTCTGATATGCTGATTTGATGCATAAGAAACATTTCTGATTATTATCAATGTTGAAAATAATTGTGCTGCCCAATATTTTTGTGGAAACCGATATTTTTGCAGGATTCTCTGATGAATAGTTCAAATGAAATTCATCATGTATTTAAAATACAAATCCTTTGTAACGTAATAAATGTCTTTACCGTCACGTTTTATTGTCATGCACTTTAATGCTTCTTTACTGAATAAAAGTGTAATTTCTTTCAAAGAAAATTCATACTGACCCCAAACCTTTGAACGGTAGTGTAGATTAGCCTCAGAGCTAATGGAATAAAAGCCACAAAACATATTAGAAGCTGTAATATTACATTATTAAACAAAAGCTAGTCTTTATGTATAAATTCTTATGGTCATCACTCGAGCGTGGGTAAAAACCCATATGCAGCAGGCAGGGAATGAGGCCTTGTCTTCCGACCTTGAATGTCTTGTCAGAACATGTTGTATGTGTGAGATACTGAGCTAAATTCACTGTTAAGTAAACACTTGCTCAACCCCTACATCAGTCACTGCTGCACGACCATGGAGCACAAACTCTACTGTTCCTCATAAACCACAGCAATACAGTTAACATTTATGAGTGCAGTTGTTTTTAAATAGGCACAGCAATCCTTAATCCGAAGAGCTTCTGTGTAGCAATTGTGAGCGTTTTTAAAGTCAATACAATTCTCTCCTCCTGCAAGTGTATGTTTAGTTTTGAAGTTTGTGAGTTTCATGAAGAGCATCTTAAAGGAGCAAGAACCGTTTCCTCTTTCTCCTTGTGTGGAAATCTGTGTAAACCGACACCACACACACACACACACACTGCCTTCCTCTCGCTGCTGTTCACAATACGGCAGATCATTAAATGGATAATTCACCCACAAATAAAAATTCTATCATGATTTACTCACCCTAAAATTGTTCCAAACCTGTACGAGTTTCTTTCTTCAGTTTCTGGTCCCCACTGGGGACAAACAAATCTTTGGTTAGCCACAATCCTCAAAATATCTTCTTTTATGTTCAACAGAAAAAAAAAACACACACACAGGTTTGGAACAACTTGAGGGTGTGTAAAGGATGGACGAACGTTCATTTTGGGGGGACTATCCCTTTAACTGCTACCAGTTCCTGTTGTAACCGATCTGAAGCCGTCACATGACAGAATGCCTTGTCTGCGTACTCATACGATGTCATAAAATAAATGTGTAGCTGTCTCATACTAAATATATATATATATATATATATATATAAAGAGAAAAGGAGAAGTCATCACAAATGCAGCCCTAAACAGACGTGATCTACAAACACACAAGCGGTTAAACTAGACTGAAATCTTCAAAAACATCTCTAGGAAGAGAAGAGCACTTCCTTTTCCTCTGGTGGCACGCTGGTGTAGGGCTTGTTTTCCTTCTGTGACTCTCTTGGCTTCGGCTCAGGACCAGCGAGTGCCAGCTGCTCAAGCTGACCGTATTCACCATTCAGCATGTTATGAGGGGAAGTGTCATTCATAGACAGCGTTTGCTTTTTGACCTTAATTGGCAGTATAGTTTCGTCATATATGGAAGTCCATTCATTTCATCGCCACAAGAGTCATACTGACCTGCTTAAAAAATGCCATAGGTCATAAATTGTGTTATATGCTCACTACACACTAGTGCCATTCAAAGGTTTGGGATCAGTAAGATTAAAAAAAAAATAAAAAAAATTTTAATTGATCAAAAATGATAGTAAAGACTTTTATAATGTTACAAAATAATGTTCAAATAAATACTGTTCTTTGCTGTTCTTCCTATAGACCAATTATAGGTTTGTAAACATTCAGGATGCGCGCGAAAATTTTTTTTTAATTGATCAAAAATGATAGTAAAGACTTTTATAATGTTACAAAATAATGTTCAAATAAATACTGTTCTTTGCTGTTCTTCCTATAGACCAATTATAGGTTTGTAAACATTCAGGATGCGCGCGCATCATGGTTGCAGAAAACTCTGGAGAGATGGCCTTTACGGCTAGAGAGATTTTCACGGATACGGTACAAAATAGTTAGGTTTAAAAAAATTATAAATTATATTGATTAGATGTCATTTTCAAAATGTTCTCCGCATATTACAAGAGCTTGTCACCCAGCGATAAGCACTGTTATTCAACGAAATTGACGTTAGAGAGTGCGATAGTCTTACAGATCCGAAGCAGGGATGACATTTTTTGTGGGCGGAGCCTATCTGGAAGCAGAAAATGCCGGTTTTCAAGCGGCAGTCTATGAAGCCATGGAATAAAAGAATTTTAAAAAAGGTACATTTGATTTTATATTTCAAAATTCTGACTTTATTCTCGCAATTCCGAGATTATATCTCACAATTCTAATAAGG